CCCCCCCCCCCCCCCCGTCTTTCTTTCCAATATTTTCCTCTCACTTCTCTAGCTCCCTTTTTACCTAGGTTCATTGCTTGCACTTCTCTTTCCACAATATTCAGCTTTTTTTTCTTTTGTTTCTTCTCCCCCCATATCTCAGTGATTATCTCTTCTCCCTTTCTTTCTCTCCTTTCCCACCTGTAAGAGATTATTTTTCATTCCCCCCCCTGCCCCCCCCAAACTTCTTTTCTGTATTCAAGCTGATTTCAGTTTTGGTTTTTAAATAAAATCACTTAAATGCTGAACCTGCTCCCCTACTGCAGATGAACATAAACATCATACCACTCTATTTAAGGTGTATTATTCATATAAAGTGAGATTTTTAGTAGTCCACGATCACTAAAATCATGTGCATTGTACTTTCTGTACCCCTCTGGTATCATGCCTCTTTAACATACCCAGCTTCATATCCATCAGGTACTTGGGTGGCTCAGGATAAATTACTGTGTGGGTTCTATGACATGATGAATGATGCTTCTTCAACATATGGTCTGCTTCAGAAAGCAGCGAAGTGACTTGTTGGATTAAAGAAATAGATATTAAACAGAACTAATGGTCTGGGACTTAGTATCGCCCATCTAGATTTGTTAAAACCATCTGGCTTATGGTGCAGTGGTTTTGCTATTTTTCAGTTAAATGTGGAAGAATCTGGTGGTGTATGTGTGTGCACAAAGGTTTTTGTGATATGTATGTGTGTATATTACAATTTTGGATAGCAATAGTAATGTGTTAGGTTCTTTGTATACATATTGTGTGTCTGTGTATAGGATGACATGGTGCAGGTCATCCCAAATGAGTGCTGATTTAAAAAAATAAATAACACCATAGAACACTATAATGTATATTGTATCTGCTATATATGAAGTATTGTAAACATATTTGAGAAATGTTGAGAGTTCTGAAAATTATCAGGATTATTTATTGCATCTCCCTGAGTAGAGAGCCAGATTAACTAAAAATGTCACAACGCAACGTCTGTTAGTTTGCTGCCTTGAAGAGCTAAAAGTGAGTTCTGGGTCCCTCCTAGAAACACTTGGTGACCTTGAGCTGAATCCTGCCCATCCTGGGCCTCTTGCGGATGCACTTCTTGGGGGAAGATTAAGAAAGGTTGAGAAATTCCACAGTTGGTGGGAGGGGTTGAAAACAGGTTGGTTTTTAGAAAATGGTTGTTTATGGAAGCTTCTCTGGGATTTGTGATGTTAGGGTAAAGCTGAGCAATGGTATAATGAGCAAGTTGTGGGTGAGGCAGTTACAGGTGCATGATGCATGGAAATACACCCAATATATGGAGGTGATCTCTATGGGAGAAATTCCAAGGCAGGTGACAAATGAATTACTCACTCACCTTTGACAGCATTGCCAGTTTGGCTGCGTTATTAATAGCTTTCTTAACAAAAAATGTTATGATTCATCTAGGAAATTGCCAGCTTCCCAGTGGGACCAATGATATTAGGGTTTAAAGTCATAACACTTTTGTGTGTAGAAAATCTGAGGTTAGTTTTAGTGGGTTTTGATATTTCCTCTGAGCCCTGTTCAGTTGGGAGTCATGATAACTAAGACAACTGACTTTGCCAGAGGGATACAATATATAGTCCCTATAAATTTCTTTTAAACATTCCTAAAATAGTGCAGCATATGACACATACAACATATCTGATGGTGGTGTATGATATATAGATTTTATTGGCACTTTTATGGGATGACCTGGCTTCTTTACTCATGAGTAGTGCAGCCACTCCATATTCATGTTAATAGTCTTTATGCCACACCATCATGTATCCTCAGTTTATTCCATGGCTCTTCATTTGATACACGTGTTGCCTTTACATTAACATGTAGATTTTGTATTTTCAAACCTATATATCATTGTGAGGAATAGACTCTGATCATGTTCTGATGAAAACTGTGACTTTAACCCACATGTTTCAGGCCAGTTTTTCTCTTTATATTGTCTCTTACTTGCCCTTCTTAAATACCAATGTCTCCTTCACCTGCAACAAGCTGCTTTTGTGTGATCACTTCAAAACAGTTTGAATTTCATTTTTCCTTCTGTCAAGAGGACAGAGCCCTTTCCTTCCCAGTCTTATCTAATTGCTACTAATTTCTACCCTGTACAACTCTTTCCAGTAGTACTAAATTATGAAAACTGAGACTCAGACCTACTGTTTGGCACTAGAGAACAAAAGGTGAGTGCACTGAAGCAAAATGCTGTACTGTATGTCGGTGCACTTTAGTCACCGGGTACCTGCTGTTTTGGAAGTATTTTACTAAAGTCTTCAATGTTGTATTGGACAAATTCTCTTGATTATAAATTGTGTTGACTGCAGAAATAACTGTTCAACCTTTAGGTAGCACAAATGAGTGTAGCTTCCCAAGTAAAGCCTGCCCATCCAGTGCTGTGTTGCAGTGATTAAAAATTAAGGATGCTGCAGCTCCAAGATCAAAATTTCTGTCCTTCTGCTGAAATATGACATTACCATGTACAACCTAATCCTGCCTGCTTTGAAATCTGATCTAAGAGCCAGAGTAAAGTGAACTGTCAGTCTAGGATAGAGTGGAAGGAGATTGTTGGATTTTTGCTCTTCCTAGTTATTCTGGGTTATTCTATTTACTTTATTTAACCCTAAACTTCTTTCCTGTTCTAGTCATCTCTGTTGTGTGCTCCTACAGCAGCTAATGCAGTGCTAGCTAACTCATCCTCCGCGGGGACTGTCAGCCCAGTGACCAGCAGTTTATGGTCACTCTTAAACAGTAGAGCTTTGTAATTTTCATTTAATTGCTAGATATTGCACCTGAGTTAGTGTTTGATGTTTGCTAAAGCTCAGTGTTTGGTGGGTTGAGCCCACCACACTCATTTCCAGACTGTTTTTCATAAGAGCTAGTTTTCATTTCCTCTTTTACAGTCAGAAGGGGGGAAAATACTACTCTGAAATAAGACTTTTAATCCACTAGAGCAAAAGGTAACATATGAAAGATAAGATGATCTCTATCTAGTTAATGAATAAAATATGTGATGTAATTGATGTTTTCATGTTAATAAATACTTAGTCCTACAGTGTTGGAGAAATAACGGGCTTCATCCTTCAAACTGTTGCTCGTGGTTAGTGGACCTCTCATCTGAGTGAGGACTTATAAAATGGGTTTTGGATTTTAGATTGTTTCTGCAGAGCTGGCAATTAGGAAGAAAAATCTACACCTTTTCATTGCTAAAATGAGCACATTTGATACAGAGTAAGATATAAGCAGCATGGGATTCTGTGATACCACTCCTATAGAATCACTTTTCAGAGTCAAAGTGCACTCAGAAGCTAATAGTTCTTTGCAGTCTATGCAGCACTGATGTAATGGCACCCTATGACAAAACCTACTAAACGGTGGATCTGCTACATTCTGCACCAACTAAAACTTGAGTGGTGTCCAAAGGTAACCCTATATGGAGAGAATTATGATAATCCAGTCTGAAAGTCACAAAGGCAGGGATAATGGTGGCCAGGACCATGTCCAAGTGAGATCGTTATAATTATTGTGTCAAATGCAGCAGAAAAGAAATGCTAGGCCTGAGTTACAACTGCTTTACTCCATTGAAATCAATGGAGTAATGTTGGTGTAAACCTGGGACGGTGAATCAGACTCATGGAGTGAAATGAGACAGACCATTTGCCTCTCTTGTTTCCTTTAATAGCAGTGGGTAATTGGATTCTTGCTTTCTTTAAAAAGAAAGGGGGGAAAAATCAAATGACTGTTTAAAGATTTTTCAAGAAGTAAAAATTGTTTCCAGTCCATTCATCAGAGTGGTACAGTGGGCTCTTGACTAGTCTGAAGGAAACATATGAAAGATGAAAAACAAATAGATTTAATTATTAAAAATATAAATGTGCTTGGAAGGGAAGTGATAGATTTACGCTCTTTTTTGCTCAGGTTTCTCAGTTGCGCCATGAACTGTCCATGAAGGATGAGCTGCTTCAGTTTTATACCAGTGCTGCTGAAGAAAGTGAGCCAGAGTCCATCTGCTCAACACCGTAAGTTATCAGATCAGTTCACTTTTCCTGAATCTAAACCTTCCAGGGATAATAGCAGGAAGTTTAAGAGCAGTGTTGATACCCTTGAGGGTGGCAAAATTAATCCTGAATGGAATAAAGCTACATTCATAACTTAAACCTCCAACTTGCGCCGCACATTTTCATTTGTTAATGTTTGTATTGGAGTAACTGAACTGATTCGAATGTGGGGAGGGAAGGAAAAAGGAGGACAGGAGGACAGTGGCATATGATACCATAGGCTGCTCTAACTCACATTGGGGCTGGCATAGACCACCCCACAGGATCAGTGAGCCACCTGGCATGTACCACCCCACCATACCATCTTTCTGTCTGCAGGGGAAAATCTGGCCAAGTGATGGAAGACTAACCTCCATACTCACATTGCTTTGGCTGGCAAAGACTTGAGGCATTGCTAAAATATTGCGCACTGTTTAACAGCAGAGGGAGGGGATAACGCATGGATTACAGTCTTCTCTGGACAGTTACCTGTCTGAGCAGCACGGCAGAGTTTGAGGAGGCTGCCTGCCCTTGTCCACTTGTCTGCAGAGTTATTGCAGCATTCAGGTGGAGCATGTGCAACGTGATTCATGAAGCTATTATATTATTTTTTGTAAGTCTGCATGTGAAGGTTGCTTTCTTCCTAATATCTGTGGATGAATAGCTTTCCCACAGGAAGTGGGAGAAATAAGGAAAATTGTCATGTTCACTTTTAAAATGAGATGAAAATGTGTGTTGTCACAAATAACTTAAAGTGAAAAGTCTGAATTTCACACAGCTCTGGCTGTTATGGGACCTCTGTTAAGCCTTTTCCCATTTGTCATTTCCAAGGCTTCAAGTAAAATGGGCCTAAAGTAAATGTTAATGGTTCTGTTACCAGGTTGAAGAGGAATGAGTCTTCCTCCTCCGTCCAGAACTATTTTCACTTGGATTCTCTTCAAAAGAAACTTAAGGACCTTGAAGAGGAGAATGTTGTGCTTAGATCAGAGGTGAAATCACTCCCTTGTATACTTTGTTTTTAATAATTGCAGCCCTGCTTCCCTCTCCCTTTGAAAACCAGTGCTCTGCTGATGATTGTTAAATAAATATTCTTAATGGAAACCCTCACAGGGGAGGGCTATCTTACATAACAGATCCCCTTGTAATATAGCAAATCACCAATTTTGATCTTAAAATAGTGTTAAGAGTCCAACTGAAACCTATACATTTCAGGAAATTCAGAGCAAAGGCTTCATGTGGAGGGGACAACATAGTTCTATAACCGTGTTGGGGGACAGTATTATAGCCTAAAACCTGAGAGGGTCACGCAGACTGAAAACAAAAATGGTGTTAGAACATGGCTGACCGTTGCTGTACCTGCAGGTTGGCATAGGATCCTTAACCCATACCAGTGTTAGCAATAGGCACAAATGTCTTACCTAAGTATAGAGAGAGGCAGTATTACCTTAAACTCTAAATGGCCTTAATTTGTGGGTTTCAAGTCAGGCCTTTAACATTATTTTAACATTGTTTTTTGTGGATTCATATTTTTCCTTTTATTTTGGGACTGTTCAAAAGAATAAAAAACATGTATGTGGGTTGATGGAGTCTGTCAGAGTTAATATATGTTCACTGTGACGGCCACGTACCAGATAAGTAATTACATTTGTGATTTTTCAATGCAGTTTTTGAACTTACAATATTTGGGGATGTGTTATAATTTGCAAACTCTCATTGGTGTTTAGATGAAATACCATTCTCAGATTCACAAATTCATTAACTTTCCATTATAAATGTAAGTCACTCTTTTATAAAATATGTTTTGATCAAAGTGCAGTCTACTTCACCTTTATTATGAAAACACTCAGGGAAGATAAGCAGTGTAAATATTATGTTGTGGGTATTGTGAGGGTAATTAAGGTGGGGCTGGAAGTGAAAGTCTTCTGGCTTCAGGGGTTATAAAAGAACACTTTACACTTAAGTCTAATTGCGTAGCCAATGCTTTGGATGAAATGTAAAATATAGTGTTTAATTTAAACATGTAATATCTTCATCTGTTTTAGAGATCTCAAAACGTATCTGTTCAGGTGATCAATTTATACATTGTGCACTCCCTGCATGTGGTTTCGGTCATCTTCATTCCTGTTAAAATAGTGACACCTAGTGGGTGCAAATTTCTGCATCAAATCTGTGGATGCTGAATGTTCATTTGGCCCCTTTTTTTTAGAGATTGAGGGGAGACCAGGGGAGTTGGGGTTTTCTCACTGTTTTCCTGGAGTTGCGATTTGAAAAAAGAATTTGCTTTTTTGAAGCAAATGGAAACACTACAACAGATTAGAAAACAACCAAGATGCTAATGTGCCATATTTTGATGTGGACCTTTTGAACAGGCCTGTCAGCTGAAGACTGAAACAATTACTTACGAAGAGAAAGAACAGCAGCTTGTAAATGACTGTGTGAAAGAGCTGAGTATGTCCTTTTTTTTTTTCTCCTTTTTCACATCTGACATTGTATTCAGTGTTGTTGTAGCCATGTCGGTGATATTAGAGAGACAAGGTGGGTGAGATAATATCTTTCATTGGACCAACTTCTGTTGGTGAGAGAGGCAAGCTTTTGAGGTACACAAAGCTCTTTCTCAGGTCTGGGAAACAGATCTAAGGAACAGCACTGTGTAGCTCAAAAGCTTGCCTCTTATCACTAACAGAAGTGGGTCCGATAAAAGATATTACCTCATCCACCCTGTCTCTGTAATTATTGTGTTCAGCCACATTTAGGTTGAGTTGTAAATTCATAAATGAGTCATTTAAATGAATCATTTACCCTGTGGTCCTTCATTTCCTTACAAGTATTATATGTCTGTCTGTCTTTTAAGACTGGTCATGAGAAGAGAAACAAAAGACTAAAAGTCCCTGCATTCTTGTCACTTTTCTACCTTTACTTTATGAAATAATGTACGAGAAAGGCAGAGCCATCTTTCAGCCTGTCAGCTTCACATTTCATATTGGAATTACATCACTTAAGACCACATTTAATTTCAAGATAATTCAGCTTTAAGTACAAGTCCTTGAACTAAAATGTAACATTGGAATATATCTACAGTATCCATATGGGCCATCAATGAAGACCTAATGATCAGGCATTGAAAGAGATGGAAACTTTCAGATGATTTATTAGTAGGCTTGGCAGAATTTCATTTTTTTTTATAGTTTCAGTGGATAATATTGATAACACCAATGTTTACTTGTAAGCATTTTATCCATTTTAAATTTTCACAGTTGTGTGAAATTATGGTTTTTTTTAAATTTTTGGTTTTTTATTTAAATGTTCAGAGTTGGAAGTAAATATGAGGGAGTCAGAGAATTATTTAATGACGTTGAGGTTAAAAAAAAGTAAAGCTTTATGAACCATTAAACACAAACTGTCAACATCACATGTCAAAATATAAAAAGTAAATACAATTAAATCAACAAATCAGACCTGTTTTTAGTATTGATTCACTAGTCCATTTGTAACAAGCGTAATTCAAAAGTCGAAATCACTGGATTCTGACTCTTAAGTTTTCAAGCAGCATTTTTCTTTCTTTGCCTGTCCGTAAATTTGGATTATTGTTGATGGAAATATTTTTTCATTGGTTTGTATGTGTACAATGAAATGGACATTTACTCATAAAAGTCTAATCTTTCCAATCCTACTTATCAGGTACCAATGCACAACAGACAATTTAGTCTTAGAGAGAATGTGCATAACATTTTTTATTTAAAGATACTTTTCTTCCTCTTAGTGAGTGAGGCTAGGTGAATACATTAGCATTTCTTCCCTGTGGTTAACACGAAAATACCAGTTTAGCTTAATTATTATATATGCAGAGGTAGCCAAAGTGCAGCTCATTGAGTTCTACAGTAGCTGCTTGAACTTGATGGAGCAGTGTATGCTGGGATTTGCAGTTTCTCTGGGCCACACCTATGTATTATCGATGACAGCTGCTGCATTTTGTTCCATTTAATTTAAATTAAGTGCAGCCTTCAGGCTCCTGGCAGGCTGACAGTGTCGCCTCTGCTGGCAAAGTTTGGATGTTCCAGTGTTACAGGACTATCTTCTCTAAATATGTTTTTACTTTTCTATCAGTTGAAGCATCAGGCTCAAAGAACTTAAAACACAGCAGGAGTTAAACCATTAGGATCACAAGTTTATGCATGAAATAAAGCTATTTTCAGACATTCTAAAACTTCTTGTATGAAGTTGAACTGGATCTCATTTACTGCACAGTTAGTAGGAAAGTAGCCATGAAATTAGGCTTAAAGCAAACTTTTAATTAACAATAATTTCCACTGCAAGACACTAAAAAAATGCCCTAATCTTAGAAATGTAGGATGGGATGGGACCTCAATAGGTCATGTAGTCCAGTGCCTTGCACTGAGGCAGGACTAAGTACTATCTAGACCAGGGGTCAGCAACCTGTGGCACGCATGCCAAAGGTGGCACGTGAGCCAATTTTTAGTGGCACTCTGCTGCCAGCCGGAGTCCCGGCCGCCGGCCCCACTCAGCCCGCTGCCTGCCTGGATGAACGGAACCCTCGGCCGGCAGTGGGCTGAGCGGGGCCGGCGGACGGGACCCCAGCTGGCAGGAGCCAGCAGACGGAACCCCAGACCAGGATCGGGCTGAGCC